AGGTTTGAGTTTGTTCTCATGGTTTTGAAACACTCCAGTTACTCACCTGCTCTTCTTTAGCCAGAGTCAAACTTTGAAACGAGCCCAGAGCAAAAGGTTTTTGTTACAGGGGCATTTAGTCCGCCCCGCCTCGCAGTTTCATTTCGTTGACTTCACCTTGTAAAGAATGAGAGGGTCGATTCACAAGCTCTTGCTTGCAAAAAGAAACAGCAATAGCAGGTAGATGTGCATATTTTTAATTTTTTTCTGACTTCGAGGACTCAGTAGTTTGATGTTAAAAGTCTTCCATTCTTGTCTAGCAACTAAAACCACATGTCTTCTATGTAGCAAAATGGCGCTAATCTTGGAAATCTATCCCTGAGATTTTTTTCACATCTTCTCACATTTGAACCACAATCTTCAATGTCCATCCATCCATCCATTTTCTTTACACCCTTGTCCCTTACTGGGGTTGGGAGGGTTGCTGGTGTCTATCTCCAGCTAATGTTCCGGGGCGAGAGGCGGGGTCAACCTGGACAGGTCGCCAGTCTGTCGCAGCAATCTTCAATGTATTTTCTCTAAATTTTATGTGACAGAAAGGGGATCTGAATGTTAACAGTGCCTAATACAAACCATCATCATACTGACACAACTCCAGTTTATCACTGCTCCAAAATATTCTTGACAAAAAGTCAAACTTTATTTGAAACACTGAGATTGAAACTGCTAAATGTTCATAAATTATCTACCTACTGTAAACTTCTGCCGCTTTGATAGTAATCTGATGAACTGTTTGCAACCCCTACACCCCCCCCAAAAAATCTTGCTTTCATAAATCTGTAAAATGTGGCACCATTTCTCTTTTCTGTACTGTAACTTCTTAAATTCTTAGGTCAGTCTGGAGCTGATTATTGGTCGAGTCTTTGTCTTTTTTACTATCCATCTGTCCAACAGAATGGTAGTTTTTCACTTCCTTCCATGTCTATTTGGATTTTAAAGCATTTACCATATTTTCCGCACTATAAAGCGCACCTAAAAACCTTCAATTTCCTCAATAGCCAACAGTGCACGGTGCACCTTATAATCCGGTGCACCGTATATATGGACCAATATTGAGCCACAACAGGTCTAGCAACTACGGTAAGCATAGACATAATATAAGACATAATATATTATGTCTATGACGGTAAGCAGCCGCCGACTTCATTTTCGCCCGTAGAAGAAGAAGCTCGCGGTGCATGCTGGGATAGTTGTCAGAACGCTGGTTTGTTAATAAAGTTTGACTGACCTATCTACCTACCGACCATCTATAATCAGGTTGTCTGCAGGTCATTTAGCACCATGTTCTCCACAAACATGCTGTGTGCGAACGGAGAGGGGTGACCATCATCCGGCCACGCTCCGGCCCAGTCGCAGAAGGCTCTCCTCGCCAACTGGATTTGGACTGTTTTGTTGACATTCTTTATGTCAACAAAGTGGCTTTAGACATTCATCCTTTAATGCAGCTCCATCTAGTGGGTGCATAACGTATCTCTAGCCTCTACTGTAGCGTCTATTCTATACACCTTATAATCTGGTGCGCCTTATAGTGCGGAAAATACGTAAATCTATAATTTTCTGTACTTCTTCAATTGACATCAAAGTTTGTCTGTCTGGAACGGCCCGCCGTACTTAGCTTTTCAGAGAGTGATGAACGACATGGACATTATTTACCATCAGTTTGTTAACACAATCAGTGACCGATTTCTATAACTCTGTTACACATAATTTATGATTTTTCCACTTGGAAATATGATTTCTACCAAAAACAGCTGTGCTGTTCCACTCCACATACCTGTTGGATTAGATTTGTGTGGACTGGACTGCAGCTCCTCTCTGTTTAACTTTATCCTGCTTTGCCCACAATAAGGGACTGGACTCTTAAAGCGACGGCTTTCAAACTCATAAAGACGATAAAGTAACAATGGTATTCTTCTTCTGTGAATATTTGTCTTCGTGCAGGTTTTCACACACTCCCTGTGTTTACCTGACGCTCAGCTGAAGGGTCAGGGTTCAGTTGTGTTGTTCTGTCTTAACCTGAGCGCCGCTTCGTCCTTTGTTCTTGGTGCGCCCATCTCACGAACCCTTCAATTCTTTATATTAAACTTTCTCTTTGTGTTTGATCTGTCCAGCTGTAATCCACCTCCTCTGTTTCTTTACCTCACATTCAAACCTCGTGGGCTGAGAAACGGATCCCGCGGTCCCACTTTGAAAAGAAGTCCTGATTATTTTCTATAGTCTTAGTAAATCTGGAGGTTCCACTCCACATACCTGCTGGATTAGATGTGCGTGGACTGCGGCTCCTCTCGGTTTAACTTAAGCCTGCTTCGCCCACAATAAGGTAAGCTGTGGTAGAGACCGACTAGAAATAACAGTGGTTCCTCATGGAGCATAAGCCACGAAAAAGGGGAGAATTTTCCTCATTTAACCAGAATAAAACAGCCAATGGTTTGACAAAGAAAACCATTGGCTGTCTTTTTTTTTAATGAGTGAATAAAACTGTTTACGAGAAAACAGAGTGAGTTTGTGAAAGGTAAACTTACAGTAGCAAGTTGCGTTAACTTTTTTATTAATTTTACCATATCTTCAAGAGTTGAGTTCACTGGGGTTTTATGTTAACACTTAAAAAAAACTGGAAGAAGAAAAACACAGGACTAGGGAATACTTCCCAGGATGCTTAGCAGCAGGTTTTTGTGTATTTTATTGCACCGTGAGGGAGATGGAAGTGTGTTACTTTGACCTGGGTCTTGTGTAGTTTTTGCAAATGTTGCTGCAAATGCACATTTCATCCACAATTTGCTTAGGTTCCATTTAAACTTTATGTCTCTGAGCATAATTCATATTTATCAGATATTTTGTTCATGCAAGTTGAATCCAGAATTTCTAAATTAAAATTCGTAGTTATTTTAACTTGATAATGTGAGTGAAATGTCGCCTCAATAGGCGAGGGCAGTTTTCTTGCATATTGTGAAGAAATTATTTGGTTTAAATTTCAGTATTAAGTTTTGAAACAACTTGCAATTCAAGATTAATGAGATGTGGGAACTTAAACAAATAATGTTTGTGGAACCTTTCTCTTGTTAAATCCACTTGATCAAATTCAAATTCTGTGTTTAAACCAAAGCAATTTTCTTGTTGACTTTACTTGCATTTTCAGTAGGTGAACCTCTGTTTTCACGTTAAACCTCCTTCCATTGTTTTACAGTGCATTAGCTGTAACCAGTAACATTCACATGAACCATTAGGTAATTTTACAAATAAAGTTTGTAAAATGTATTTGTTGGTTACAGCAACAGTTGGTTATGTGACAGTAATCAAAACAGAAAGCTTCTCTTGACCGACCTGCTGATGACGATATGGATCAGAGCTGACCAATCCTGCATGAATCAGTCAAAAGTTAGTTATGAAAGGTGCGTGCAAAACCCACAGGTTGTGTGCAGTGCTCGCCTGTGTTGAACTTGCTGTCACCTATCAGGCCTATGATAAATAATACATAAAGGCTGGAATCCAGCGAAGCCTTGCTGTCTTGCTGCAGGCGAAGAAACATCATGGAGCGGGGAGACGGACGGCTGGAGAGGAAGCAAGTCGAAAAGTTTAACGAGACATTCCAGCGTCAGGCAGGCAGTCGGCAAGTCGGCACACGTCCTGTTCTGGGTGTCTGTCACCCCGACATCTTCGCTCATGAATGTCATCAACAGTTACGAATTGATATGCAGTACAGTTAACACTTTTAAAAATTTTAACATTGCATTGTGAGTCGCCAGCAACTTTTATTTCCATTTTTTTGGTAGAAAAAATATGATAGACTTGAAATAAATGTATCATTAGTTTTTTTGCAGTGCTGTAATCTCACATTAAATAATTTTATTTTTCTTTCAAACTGCTTTACCTTTTCGAGTTTTTCTCTTTCTGTTTTCATTGACAAGACAACACAAAAAAACAAGACAACAACTGACAACAGACTTGGAAGTTTAAAGTGTTTTTCTTTTGATTTTTTGTGAAGTTTGCACTTTTTCCATCACCTTCCACGTCTTTAAATATGGTATCAGTAATACTCTTGAATGGCTAGGCAATTTGGAGCTGTGCGCACACGTGAGAAAATATGTTGGTTTTTTTTAAACAAAAACACAAACCCAGAGGGCAGGTGGATGGCTGGATGGAGGCACAGGAAGCGATGAGGAACATTCAGTTGGAATACCTTTGAAACGCATAAAGTTTAATGCATAAAGTTTGGTGTTGGTGTTTTATCTATTACATCTACCTCAAAGATGCAAATATGTCTGCTTGGCTTCACATGTGAACTGCCTGGTTTCCATTATCACTGGTTCTGAAATGTTCTGCTGCTTTCTTTTCCCCAAAGACACAGCAGGTGGTTCAACTACAAAACCACAGCTGATTTAAAGCTTCCCTTCATGTTTTAGGTGGACCTTTGTCCCAGAGACTGACGATGTACAAATTGACAATATACATTTTGCTTGTAAATCAATTATTTTGTATCTTTAATTCTGTAACAACCACAATTTAACCTTAGCTCAACGTTTGTGTACCTTCTCTCAATCAATAAGTGTTACAAAACCCTTTTCCCCCGACAAAACAAACTTTATTTTGAATTAAGAGCATTACAAAAAAATCTTTAACGCAACATAAAGTAATACCTGCAGATTACACTGAATAAAAACAATAATACACAGAGGAATAATGGTATGTGAAAAAAAATTAAATAACCACAAATATTGCCATTATTGGTAATAGTCAAGAGTTTTGCAATCAACAAAATAAAGTACAAAAAAAGTGAAACACATTAAAAATACAAAAATACATTAAAAGCTACATGTGTAGCTTTTTAAATTCTGAGGTACTGTTAAAGAATAAGTTATTCCAAATTTCTGACAGTTCTCTATAAATGTCCCAGAGTGTTTTTTTTACCTCACCAAGCCTCATCCTCAACTCCTCCCATCTCCGGTCCTCACCGTCCCCTAGTGATGACGCATTCTCCTTCGGGTTTGCGCCTGCGCAACCGTGTTTACGGCTGGCTGCTACCTGCTAGAAAGATGCGGCAGTCAAAGCTGCTGAGGCAGGAGTAATACTTCACATCAACACAGAACTCATCACCTTCATCATGACCAACAGGACATCTTATTTTTATGACCCAGATGTGGGCAACTTTCACTACGGTCAGTCAGTCGTCGCGTCCTGGAACCGGGATGGGGCTGATGCTGCTACCTAGCTTCATGCTAACACCCCCGCTATTAGCATGTTTTGTGTTTTCTTTTTATTTATTGAGTGTAAAGTCTGAGAATAGCGGCGTTTACTGTGCATTAAAATGCTTTTGTGCGTACACATTTCTGATTTTACTTGCTGTTAACACAACCATAGAATTGAACTCTATAATTAGCCTAATAGCGTTACTTTCATATTTCTGAAAACATTCCCAATGGAACAATATTACATTTTTTGCTAAATAAATATTACAACAGAATAAAGAGTAACATATCTTCCATAACTCCTCTCACACACTTTAGGGGCAACAAAAGAAATTCAAACATTGTGGAGTATGTCTAAGAGCTTTTTGTTGTCATTTGCTGATTAAAACGTGCATTGTGCATTCTGTTTATGACGGTGAAAACCAAAAATGCTTCAATTAGACCAGAAAAACATAACGTTGTAATTTATTAATTCCTGAAATTAGCACAAAATAAAGGAAGATGTTTAGAGATTGAGAGCTGCTTACTGTTTTTTTTTAAATATATATTTAATTTCTACTTAATTTCATATATTTAAAACAAAGTCATTGAGACTGGAGGAGTATTTTTTCTTAAATTTGTATTTTCTTCTCAGGTGTGTGTGAGAGACATTTCAAAACAAAAAATGTTTACTTTGTCCTCGCTGTAAAATGTAGGATACTATTTGACATTTTTAATGACAGTAATAAATTGTTGTGTTAGATTAGATTCTTTGTTTTATAGGTAAGTTGTATTGTTTTTATTTGATTCAGGAAATGCTTGAATTTTACTGTGGGAAAAGTTTACAAATCCTGCATATAATATGGGTTTAATTTTCTCAGATGCCTGGCAAGAAATATTACACTTTTTACACAATATTCAAATTTTTTGAGAGGTAATAGCACTTGAGTGTCTCTCTCGTGAACTTTAAATTGAAATTTTTGCAGATTTATTCAGTTTTTTTTTTGTTGTTGTTTTTTGCCATCTGAATTTCCTTCTCTGTGCCTCGCCCAGGTGCGGGTCACCCCATGAAGCCTCACCGTCTGTCCCTGACTCACAGCCTGGTGTTGCACTATGGCCTGTACAAGAAGATGATGGTAAGCGGCCGTCGAGCCTCACGTGGAACGTTTCTAGCGTCCGCGCCGCGTAACGTTCCGTCTCCCGCCTCCGGTCAGGTCTTCAAGCCGTACAAAGCCTCGCAGCACGACATGTGCCGCTTCCACTCCGAGGACTACATCGACTTCCTGCAGAAGGTCAGCCCCAACAACATGCAGGGCTTCACCAAGAGCCTCAACACGTTCAACGTGGGAGACGACTGGTGGGTGCTGCGCCTCTCTACCTGCTCTCTGTGTCGCTGCTCCTGTCGTCTGATTGGCTCTGGCCCGTGTGTTTCAGTCCCGTGTTTCCAGGTCTGTTTGAGTTCTGCTCCAGATACACAGGAGCATCTTTACAAGGAGCAACGCAGCTCAACCACAAGGTAACACACACACACACACACACACACACACACACACACACACTGCTTGTTATTTCTGGCTTGTTTTGTTAGTAACCAAACCAAAACTCTCATTTCATTGGTCCAATCACTGTCCTTTATTTTGCCATGAACTTTATCCTGCGAAATCTGTCATGTCACCACTAGATGTCAGCAAATCTTCCACTTCCTCTTTTCATTAAGTCACATTGATGTTTAATTACTAAAGTTTATCTTTTTTGTGTGACTGCTGTAAGGCAAGTGTAAGCCAACATAGTGATAGCATTGAAGCTAATTTTACTTTTTGACTAATTTAGACTTGAAAACTAAAGTTACCTTGCTGACATTAGCATTTTGTATCACATAAACTGTTGTTTCCATTCTAGGTTGAGTAAATTAATCTTAGTCAACTTGTTAGGATTTTAACTAGCATTAGAGTTCTTGCTAATTTTAATTTATACATTGCTGTTCCCACACTAGAGTAATTTAATGTTAGGAACATGGTATCTAATGAGCCAAAACCTTTGGAACATTAGCTAAAAATGCTTTAGCTAATTGTAGCATGTACACTGGTGTTGTGTCTGCACTAGATGAGCTTTAAGTCATTACTCTCTAGTAATATTGACTTTATTTTGACTTTATTCTCATGCCAGTTTAATCTTGCAACACTATGACTACATTCTTCACCATTTTGTTTTTTTATTTCTTATTATTTCTGAGTATGGACCTAATGCCCCGTTGTACTGGTCTTATTTGACCATCACATGAATTCAAGGCTAATTCATTTGACTTCTTCCAGATTTGTGACATCGCCATCAACTGGGCAGGAGGTTTGCATCATGCCAAAAAGTTTGAGGTGAGAACAAACTTTCCCATCCCTGTTGATCCGGGTCCATGCGAGTCAGACTCCAACACGTCTCCGCTGTGTTTGTAGGCTTCAGGGTTCTGCTACGTAAATGACATCGTCATCAGCATACTGGAGCTCCTCAAGTACGATCCCGCTTCTTATCCGTCGGCCGTGCCGCACGTTTACCGCCGCCCACCTTTATAATTCGCCGTCGTCTTTCAGGTACCACCCCAGGGTCCTGTACATTGACATTGACATTCACCATGGCGACGGCGTCCAGGAGGCCTTTTACCTGACGGACCGCGTCATGACCGTGTCCTTCCACAAATACGGCAACTACTTCTTTCCCGGCACGGGTAAGCGGCCGCTTAAAGTTCCTGTCTTTCTTTGGTTTGCCACATGCGTGTCGATGCCACATTTGTTTTTTTATCGCAGGCGACATGTACGAGGTGGGAGCAGAGAGCGGCCGCTACTACTGCCTCAACGTCCCCCTCAGAGACGGCATCGACGACCAGAGTGAGTCTGAACAACCAACAGTGACACCAAACATCGTCTTTAAGGTCGTGTGCTTTATTTAGGTGTGTGTTTCAGGCTACAGGCAGCTGTTCCAGCCAGTTATCAAGCAGGTGGTTGATTATTACCAGCCCACCTGCATCGTCCTGCAGGTCAGTTTGTTGTTGAGGAGGATCTGTGTGTATGTGTGTGTGTGGGTTTGTTAAAGCTAGGGTAGTTTGTGTTTGCAGTGTGGAGCAGATTCTCTGGGCTGCGACAGGCTGGGCTGCTTCAACCTCAGCATACGGGGACACGGGTGAGTCGGCCGAGTCGAATGGCGCCGAGTCCGTCGCTGCCGTTCGACTCGCTGAGGAATGTTTGCCTGTGTTTTTCAGCGAGTGTGTGGAGTTTGTGAAAAGTTTTAAGATCCCTCTGCTGGTTCTCGGAGGAGGAGGATACACGGTGAGGAACGTGGCTCGCTGCTGGTGAGTGGAGAACAGAGAGACCAAAATCCTCAGATTTATGGAAAAAGTCTGTGGTGATGAAAACGGTTTCTGTCATGTAGGACTTTTGAAACGTCTCTGTTGTTGGAGGAATCCATCAGTGATGAGCTGCCTTACAGCGGTGAGCTGGTTCAGAGTTCACTTTCTGATCTGTAGCGCCATCTGTTGGTAGATTACTGAATTAGAATATGATCAGAAAGCCCATTTGTTCAAGCGAAACACATGAAACAAATTGATTCTTCACAATTTCCCACTTACAGGTAATAAAAATATGACATTTAGAGTTAGAATATATCAGACTAATAAAGAATGAATATTTAATACATTATCATTAAGTATACTTATATTATCATTAAGTAAACATACTTACTGATAAGTATGTTTAAAAGTTATTTTCAAAAGTATTTTTAATCTGACAAAGTGGCTTCATTAAATTTGTTGTTTCTTATTTTCCTTTTGGCTCCTGCAGAGTATTTTGAGTACTTTGCTCCTGACTTCACGTTGCATCCTGATGTCAGCACCAGGATAGAAAACCAGAACTCCAGACAGGTTAAACATTGTCCCACTTTTCACTGTTTTTGTTTCTTAATTGAATTTATGGTGAGATATCAAATTATAGATATTAAAAAATCAAACTCTCCCTACACAGTTGAAATTATGGATTGTTTTACCCTTGTCAAACTCTCAAATTTTATTTTATTTTTTTGTTTCAAGGCATTTCGCCCCCATTTCTTAATAAAAAATAAAATCTCACGTTAATTCAATAAACTTTTTTTTAAATAAATAAACTACTGCTGCAAGTAGTAGTTTTGGTTTTGATAATCAGTATCATAGTTTATCATCCCTGTGAAGACACTCGAGAGTTGGGTGAGAAATTTATTTCAATTCTATTTTTGGAAAAAAAATTTCTTTCATTTTGCATTATAGGAGACAAGAAAGTCAGAGACAAAACCTGATGGAAAAAAAAAATGGCTTAATCTTAAGCCATCGCCCAGACCTTGTCAATAGCAGTGATGTTTTTATCTTGAACCAGTTGGCAGCACAGTGGTCAAAATTTTTAATTTAATGTACTAATCCATTAATTTAAACATTTATTGCCCAAAAACTTAAATCTGTTCTAAATCTTGCTATCCTAATGTGAAATTTGGTGTTGCAATAATTGAGCAAGACGGAGATAAAACTGTAATCCTGATGAAATGAGCTTGAGGTCTTACCTCGTTAGCATAAACAAATATTTTGTATTTTTCAAAATATTTTGAAAAAAAAAATTGATGGAGTTGACTGGAATCTGCTGTTTTTGGCTGCGACTCTGCTGACTGAGTTTTGGAGTTTAACTTTATCGTTTAGTAAAACCAGATCATATCAGTGGTTTGTAATTTGGCGAGAAAAAGGAATATTTGAAGAGGCGACGTTGGAGCCGTCTTCACCGTTTCCGTGTCGCTGCAGTACCTGGAGCAGATCCGTCAGACCGTGTTCGAGAACCTGAAGATGCTGAACCACGCGCCGAGCGTCCAGATCCACGACGTTCCCTCCGATGTGCTGAGTTACGAGCGCAACGACGAGCCCGACCCCGACGAGAGGGGAGCCGAGGAAAACTACACCCGGTGGGTTTGCAGCTGTAGCAACGAGTCAGCAGGTTCCTTCATGTTTGAGGTTTTTTTTGTAAACATCTTGATTTTTATGACTTCTACAGGCCCGAAGCCACGAATGAGTTCTACGACGGTGACCATGACAACGACAAAGAAAGTGATGTTGAGATCTGAGACTAGAAGCTATTTGGACCGAGCTGAAATATGGGCTGTTAAACTGTTCATCATTGGAAGAAGTTTTTATGGACTTTGACATTTTTTCATTTCATCTCTGTGTAATAGTGATAAAAGTTTGTAGTTTTCTATCAGACTCCTGCATTTCAGAAGCCAAAGTTCACATCCAACCATCATCTGAGAAGTGAAACGCCGTTTTAAACTGAACCAACATTTACGCTGCTGGACCGGCGCCAGTCCAGCCAACAACTGTTCTCTGCCTTTTTAGACCTTCCGTTTAACGTTGCCACTTTTTTAAAAATGTGTAACCCGAATGACATGAGATGAAAGTGTTCACATGAGAAATTGTAACCAGCTTTGAGTTAAAAAGAAAAACTTTGCATCATGTCCCTCCTGCAGTCTGAAATCCACCCATGTGAGTTTTGATAGTTTGGTTTTATTAATAAAATCTGAATCTGTGCTTATTTTGTAATATGTTCACCCACCACTAGATGGTGACACAACACATGAAAAGAAGCTCAGAGTTAAACTTTATTACTAATTTCTCCTGTAATATATCACAATCAGTACCTACAAACACACAGTTTAAATTATTTAAAAATGTAACAGTGGGCGCTTTCTGAGCCAGACACCGCTGAAATTCAGTGAACACAGCAAGTACCAAACAGCTACTTGTGTAGATTCAGCAAAACAGTTTAGGCCAGACGTAAACCATAAAAAGCAGATTTATCCCTTAAGGCTCCAATTTCAGCTTTCTGTGGAGATTAAACAAAAAAAATTGTGTGATCTTCTCTTGCATGCATCTTCAGTCAAAATGTAACGAGCTCCTGGCTGGCAGCAAGCAAATCAATATAAGAACAAGTTGAAATAAGCAGACTCCCTCTGTTGGCTGGTATACTGATACCCATTTCAAAATTCAAAACCAAATACGAATCAATGCAAGAGGGAAACGTGTTCTCTTCTGTAATCGAGCTTAAACAGCTTCTCTGCACTGCAGGTGTGATTATATGTAAACATAGAGGGCGTGACCTTTGCTCCAAGTGCAGTTTGGGTATCAGAATAGCAGCCTTTTTATTAATTCAGCCAAGACAATACTTCTCAAATTTAAATAAAAAAGCCACATTCAAAAAAATACAGAAATAAAATCAGTACGAGACAAAAGCAGCAAATGTCAGTTTTTTTCCCCTAAACATCTTAGAAGCAGCTGAACTTGGAGAACTCAGATTTCTGGGACTAAAACGGTAGAGCAAATGTTTGTGGAGTTTAAAGTGCACCGTTGCAGAAAGAAAGGTTGAACTTTTTGGTTTCTAACTCTCGCTCCAAAGCAAGGATTAATTAGGATGAAACAAGTGATCTATGTTCTGGACTCCACCTGCCTTTAAAATACACCTTTACACAGAACAATGCTGTTTCTAGAAACAAACTGCACATGTGCTCTGTAAAACACGTTGCCATGGCAGCGCTCAGGAAAGCAGCACCGAGGCTGGGCTGCAGAGCTGGAGCTGCATGCCAACCCTGCAGAGTTCTAATAATACCGACCCAGAAGCTGCATTCTGCTGAGAGCAGACAGGACAGAAACTAAAAGCTGGTTCACAAACAAACAGCAGCTGATTATGAGAGCTGAATTCAAGCAACTTTTTCCTCAAAGTTGCTTTGATGGAGTCTCTAATGTCAGGCAAATCCAACAATAAGAAAACGTGTGGAGAAGTTCAGAAATTAAAAAAAAAAAAAAAAGGTCAGTCTTGTCTGATGCTGATCTGGCTCCAGAGGTTCTGGTCCAGTTGTGCAGGTGTGACTGAAGGCATTTAGCTCTACAGCTCTTCACTCTCGTACAGTGGAGCCGTGTGCTGAGCGGGGCTCTCCACCGTCAGGGCAGGAAGGTGGCTCAGAGACGACAGCAGCTTCAGGGTCTTGGAGGCAGGAGGAGCCATTTTCAAGGCTGGTGTTGTGCGAGCTGGAAGAGAAAAAGCATGGCAAAAGAAAAATAATACATTTATTGCAGCAAACATTGCTGAATTATTATACTGAATTATTTCACATGAGAAGTGCAGCAGATCCCACCCAGGGAGCCACAAGTCTTAATGGCGACTGGACACAGGCTGAAGATTCTTCTCATGCCACGTGTCTGAAAACAACTCCTGCCCAGTGCAGAGCGGCAGGCAGGGCTCACTGCCAGATAACGGCAGGTCCACACAGGAACAATGGCTCTGGGTCACTTTTAGGATTCCCAGTTTAAGCTGGATTTAACGCATGTTGATACAGAAAGGCAAAAGTTTCACTTTTCTCTTCAGCTTCATGTTAAAAACATTACTGCTTTGAATAGCTAACAGTTTTCTTCACTCAGCAAGAACATCCAGACCTGACAGCCTCGCCCTAAAACTAACCACTTAACATTAGTACAGGGTACATATTAGTATTCATGGGATTTTTCTAAATCACAATAAAGCTGTAAAATGAGAACAATTTTAGAAAGAAGGAAAAATAAAGTACAGAAAAATATATCAATTTATACGAAGTAAAAAGCAATTTTATAAAAGGTTTGCAGTGTACGAGTCAAAAAGAGTTTGTAATATACTAGAAAAAAAGTTCAGAATGTTCATAAAAAAAAACTAAGTAATCGAGAAAAAAAAGTCTGAATATTCGACAATTTGTAATGTACTAGAAAAAGATCATAATGTCTGAGGAAAAAAAGTGTGTAACATACATTCTGAACTTTTTTTCTTGTAAGTGAAAAAGAGCTTTGAACAAACGATTTGCCATTAATCAAAAAACTAATTTTATTTGTATAGCACATTTCAGCAGCAAGGCATTTCAAGGTGCTTTACATAATTGAAAAACAAAAATAAAAACAGCATGCGACATTGAACAAACAGTAAGAAAGAGAAAGATTAAAAAAAAGATAAACATACTTTTGTTACGGAATTTAAGTGCCTGTCGTCGCCATTAAAACAACTTCATCCAATTTCATGACTCATTGTATCTTTATTCTGGTAATCTTATGACTTCCTCCTCTATAATACGACTATTCTAATGATTAAAAAATAAATTAATCTTGCTGTCTTAATGTTCTGTGGTACTAAGGTAAGGTGCATTCTATGGCCAGAGGAAAATGCAATTTCTGATCAGAATCAGCCGCCATTTTGTACAAAACAATAATGCAGCCTTCTCTGTGTGTGTGTAACTAAACTCAATGAGCCACCAGCCTGTCAAACTCACTTTCTAACTTTCTACTTGTGCTGGCGAGTCGTCGTGTTGTGGGAACATGGAGCTCCACAGAACAGATGCTGTTATTTGATAGAGCAGAAACCCAATAGCGAAGCTGCACTTTCATCTAGTGAGCCTTCCTCATCGTCCACCGCAGTGATGCGTTCGGATGTAAACTGAACATCCACTGCCTCATGAGTTCAGAGTTTCTGCTCGATCACATAACAGTTCTGGAGGACAGCAGATGGAGAATGTGTGCTCAGCACTACAATGAATCCAGCTCTGTTTGAGTTTACAGCTTTGCCTCTATGGTAACCTGCAGAGTATCTCGTGCAACAGATGGCTCTGATAGGAGCCTTTCACGAACATTTGCATAGAAAGGTGAACACACTTACTGCCAACGTCCAGCCTGGCGTTGCATGTGGACATGCCGGCTTCATTAATGGCCGACAGCGTGTACCAGCCAGAGTCGGACTTGGTCACTCTATCAATCAGCAGGCACTGACGACCCGAGCCGTCCTGGTACAGACTAGAGAAACAAACCAACGTTAACTCACGAAGGTCCTGCTGGCAGCCACGATTCAACTGCTGAACAGAGTTCAGCTCTCAGTCTGAGGTCAACTCTCAGCTATCATTATTGTGAAAGCTGTGAAGTGTTTATTTTCACTGGAAGGTGTAAAATAAGTGGTTAGCGTTTCACCTCATTCTATTGGGGTCGATGCGCAGCATGTCTTTGTCCTTCTTCCAGAAAAGCTGTGGAGGAGGAGAAGCATCGACTTTACATTCTAACCGAATGGTGTCTCCTTCCAGAGCTCTGGTGTTCAACATCTTTTGGACAAAGGTGGGAGGGCGGAGGGCTTCCTGAGCTGCAAACAATCATTTTTTTACTTCCAACTCCAGTCAACCCAACACCTATGTCTTTATTTCACATTTTCAAGGCATGCCGTCAGATTTATACCTATGACGTCCAACCTCATGGTAAACTTGCCCTCTCCAGCTCGGTTCTTGGCCACACACTCGTACACACCGGCATGATGCACCGTGACGATCTCTATGATGAACGAATGCATCCCTTTCTCACACACCAGCATTTTATGGTAATCGTCTGGGCGGATAGCCTTGCCGTCCAGGTACCAGGAGATGTCTGGGGCCGGGAGCCCGCTGACCTGCATCCGTATGGAAGAAGATGACATTTCTCACTCTGAGATGGCTTCCTGAGAAATCTGGACAATTAAACAAAAAGGTGTGAGTGGATCACCTTGAAGTCGATCCTGCAGAAGCGTCCCTCTTCAACTGTGAGGTCAGGGGGGATCTGAAGGAAGCGAGGAGCGAAACATTTCTCCTGGATCGCTGATCCCTCGTTAGTCCTCTCATCTGTCCCCGAGTGGTGCCTCCCCCTGACAAAGATCAGATTTTATCATTTCACTTTCAACGACTCCATGTTACTCTTAATCGACTACACACACACAGAATATTTCTGGTTTGTTTCTGTACATCAGGGGTCCCCAAACTACGGCCCGCGGACCGGATCCGGCCCGCCACGTCGTTTGGTCCAGCCCCCTGAACAATGCCGGATCCGGCCTGCCTCCTCATACCAGAGAGCATTCAGTGTTTTTTTTTCATATATTGTATTTTCCGGTTTATATGTGGATTTTTCTTCAACCACCAGGGGGGTTCTTGAGCAGATGTGAAACTAACTTTCCCTCAATGGAATATATACCAGTCAGTCCCAGTCACCGTTTCACTCACGGTTTTTTCCATTTGCATTCTGGGTAAAAATCTATCTAAAAGCGCGAATGTGTCGTCGTGGTCGTCGTCGCCCCCCTGCTCGACAGTTTCAAAGACAGAACAAGAATTTGAGCAAATTTGTAATGGAGACATTTGTCTCTCTTTTTGAATATTTGAAATTTGGAGAAATGTCCCATATGTTTGGAGAAATCTTGAAATTCCACCCGAATCTTTGTTTTAAGACACTTCCTGAGCACAAGAAGCAATGTGTTGCATCAGAAGCATCTCAGCTTAATTATTAACAGCATTACAAAGTGATCATTATGTTTCATCCGCATGTTTTCCACAAGACTAACTTTTACAGCTGCACACAGTAAACACTGGCTTGCTCCCGCATTCAAACTCCCAATGTAAAGGCAGAATGAAAGCAGTATTGATGTGTGAATCATAGTTACCACAGTCCACCTGTTCGTCTTCCTTCTGGAGAGTCTGACTGCAACAGACAACAGGGTCGGTGTCAAGAGGAGGAATAACAGCTTTGAAAACTCATCACAGTGCAGTGCAGGACAAATGTCAAGAGAGGAGCTCTGAGTGTGTGGGTGTTTGGACACAATAGGCCTGTTGTCACCAGTGGAGGGGACCCGTTCTCAGAAGGATGGATCAAAATAACTTCTGACTGACCTCGCTGGACATGGAGGATGTGCATTTGAGAGTGTGTGGACATGCCTGCATTGGTATTGTGTGTGTGCTTATGATGGGAGAGAAAGGATGGTGCAAAGCCCAGAGAGCGAGGGGGTTTGGAAGCAGCACCGTGTGTTAAAATGACAGCAGCTCACTGGTTCTTTCAGCTTGTTTAGAGGCCCTGAGAGGGAAACGGGCTTCCCATGCAGCCTTTCAAACCGATGGCTACGTTAGTGTTGACTCTCCAAAAAATAACGAGGAACAAATGGATTGAAGTTTTCATACCCCTTGAGCAAAATTAAGGAACTTAAATGATAGTTTTCTAAACTATTTAAAAGGTAACATCTAAAAAGTGTGACATGTTTGCCTACAGTATGTTTGCTGTGGGCAAACATGCTTAAATTACACAAAAGCCTACATCCTTACACCAAGGATGTAGGGAAACATCAGCAAAGTGTATTCAACCACCTCCATAGTTTGCTTTATTATTTTTTTAGTACACCAGTAATAGTTATTCACACACCGACATACAGTCAGTGTGTGAACTCATAGGGAGACTGAGGTCAGGGGTCATTGTTTAACCTCCCCTGAACAATGTAACCACTGCTTGTCTTTAATGATCTACATGTCAACATCTTTAATTAGGATGAAACAAGTGAAGTGCAAAAAATTTAATTTTAATTCTAATTTTTTAAAGTTTGTTTTTCAAAGACTTTACAGTTGGTGTTTAGGCATTGTTAATAATGTGACAAATGATTACATTTCCTGTCAGCTTTAAACCTCTTCTAACTCAACATGGTGGGCTGCTCGGCTTGGCAAGTTTTCTGGGGAAAATCCTGAACCCAGATGAGTCAGGAGTTTAGTCACTCCTGACTCTCCATAGGGCTGCATGTCTGAGTGAAATGTTTTCTACCAAAACTCCAGGTGTTTTGGATGTCAACCAAACCATAGCACTATAACCAACAGGAAGTCAACTGTTGGTTATAGAGGGCAGCACGAAGATGGTTTTAGGCCAAATATTGCAAAATTAAACTATTTTACAAGAAAATGTCAAAATTTCCCCAGACACAAAGATAGCACCCTTAAGAACTTAGTTTATCTTTACCACATGTAAAAGCCGAAGTGTTTATCCATTATTTGCATGCAGCAAAGTTTCCTAAACCTTGGATACACATTCTCAAGGATTTAGGTCTGAACTAAGGCTAGACCAACACTGATTGCAACTCTGACTGTAGGATTAGGGTGGATAATCTGCTGGAAGGTAGACCTCCAGCCTAGTGTCAAAACTGCTGGAGCCTCTGACACAAAGGTGGATTACATTTACCAACTTCTGAAAGTAACAGACTGCACTGGATTTTATTTACGGGTGTTGGGTTAACGATGCACATCACACTATAGATTTTTTTTTAATTTTTTTATGTACTTCTAACTTGCAGCTCTCCTATCCCATCCTAACAACAGACTCCTTTGTCTATTACATGTTGGTGATGAAATGTTTGTACATCAGTAATATTATGGGTTCTTCTGATGCATTGCATTTGATGCTTTTCTTACTAAACAGAAAACCGTAGTACCTGGTCAAGCTGTAAGTCAGAGAGATTGTCTTGGTCCAACATATATGTAGCATTGTCTGGACCCAGCAGCCTGCGAGCCATTCGCTCCTCATACGACAGTTTCTGCCAAGAAAGAAAAACATTCTTATTAAACTGGCTTAGAGAAGAGTGCTTCAAAACATGAGTTAAGAGTAATGTCTTCAAATCAAGGCACCAGAAGAGCCTTGAAAAGCAGGTTAGAGAGCAATCAGTAAAGCTTTGATGCAATGTTCATGAGAAAACCAGTTAATTTTCCTCAAAATTAATCTTGTACATCTGTTTATATGAATGAATCAGTTTGTTTACATATAAACCAACAAAAAGAAAGAAAATACACCCTTAGTAAGGCAAGCAAAACGCTTTTAGATGCTTTGTTCGACAAGCACTTTTTGATGGATGTAATCATGTCTATGGTTTAGTTTGTGTTTATTTTACAGCAGGAAGGGTTTTCTTTTTATGGAGCGTTTGTTCCTGTGGTCCATCAGTCACACCTGGCTGTGTCTCCTCCTGGCTTCCTTGGAGCGAAGCTTCTTCTCCAGATCCTGAATCAAGGCGTCCTTAGAGCCCTGGATGTCTTCGTCTGTGGAGCGGGAGGAGGATGGCCGAGGAGCTACGGATTTCTTCAAGATGGGCTTAGGAAGGCTGAGAGGAGCAGTGAGAGAAGATAACGGACAGTAATAAGAAAATATGTTCAGAGACTGAAAATTAAAACATCTCACCTTACAAAAGTATTCCTACCCCTTTTTGGTCATATTTTGTCAAACTTCTGTCTCTTACTAGGATGTTATGCCGTGGATGAACCCAGAATAAACCTGTTACTTGTAATCAAGCCCAGTTCAAAAAATAAGAAGGAAGGCGGGTGAGGTGTCCTGCCCAAAGACAGCAGCAGACAGATGAAATGGGGGCTCAAACCGGCAACCCACCGCTTACAGTAGTGGTCCCCAAAGTTGGTCCTCAAGGGCCGGCATCCTGCATGTTTTAGTTCTCTCCCTGGTTTAACGCACCTGGATCCAATGATGGTTTGTTAGAAGGCCTAAGAAGAACATTGACAAGCTGAAAAGGTTGTTACTATCACCAGGTAGAAAACTAAAACATGCAGGATGTCGGCCCTCCAGGACCAACTTTGGGGACCACAGATTTACAGGATGAAATAATTCCTGAGCCACCGTCACACTGGTGGTAGAATCAGCTGCTTATAAAAACCAGTGAGGTCATAGGTCAGGAAAAGAGGTTCTGAGTCATTGGCTCAGGGTTTCGTGTCCTGGTCGGTTCAGACGAAGTTTTTCAACGGCTGAAAACCTAAAACAGACATGGAAGGCGTGTTTCATCAGCCTCATTTACTACACCTCAAGAAGTCCCTCCATAAATACACAAAGCATTAATCACAGAAGAGAGCTCCATGGTAACTCTGGAGGAGCTGCAGGGATCTACTGCTCATGTGGAAGAAAGTTGATTCATGTACTCCACAAATCTGGAGTTTAATGAAAGAGTAAAGAACTAAGCTATTCTTATAAGGATCTGTTTGCAGTGTGTTAGGTTATGCATCCCTGAATTTTTAAAAATATTTTCAATGTAATGTTGCACAAGCTGTAGCTTTTAAGGGGTGTGAATACTTTTGCCTGGGACTGCGTTTTATAAACATCACCCCTCTAGACTGGAAAGTGCATTTAAACTCACGTGTTTGGCGTCCCCTTGTAGCCAGCAGGCAGGGAGACCACGGTGGGCTGAACCCTGCTCTGATTGTTCATCTGGGGGAGGGAGGATGAGGAAGGACAGTGAGGGAGGGAGGGAGACACTGGGAGGGGCTGCTGAGGAAGGGAGGATGTGGAAGCAGAGGTCCTCATAGGGAGGAGAGGACTGGAGGGCGCCAGCGGGGAGCAGGAAGGGGAGGTGGAGGGGTAGGGGAGGTTGGAGCTGGGAGACAGTTTGGAGGAGAACGAGGAGGGCAGGACAGAGCATAGGTAGGCAGCAGAAGCAGACAGGTTGTCCTGGTTGGCGGGCAGGCTGGCACTGCCAAGGCCGGAGGCGCTGGGGACCCTGGGGGTGGGGGTGAGGGTGATGGTGGAGCGCATGGTGGCGCGGGGCAGCGAGGACGATGAGGTAGAAGGAGGGAGCAGGGAGGTGCTGGAAGAAAAAGGAGGCGCAGCAGAGGAAGCTGAGGTGGATGTAGGAGAGTTGAGGCTGGATGAGGAGGGGGAGGACTTGGCGGTTCCATTGGCCTGCGTCTGGATCTGACCGTGGGCCACTGACCTGGTCTGGTTCTGACTCAGGCTTAGCGACTGGAACTGGGACTGAGTCTGGGACACAGACCTGGACAGGGACTGAGCTGGAGAAAACGACTGAGTGTGACTGGCCTTCATCTGGCCCTCCGTGATGCTCGTGCTGCTCTGGGTACTGTTGAGGTTCTGCTGGTTGTTCTGATTCTCTTGGGCTTCCCTCAGCACGCTCTCATAGCTGGGCGCCTGGAAGGCCGCCTGCGACTGGATGAAGTGCCTCGGCCGCTCATAGTTGAAGGCACTGGGCGGGAAGGCGCCGGGGGTGAAGGAGGGCAGGTCCGACAGGTTCATGTTGTTCCCTCCTGACTGGGAGAAAACAGGATGTTTAATCTGACAGGAATAAACATCAGATTATCGGCCACTCAAACTTACCGTGAAGCTCAGCTTGCTTGGTGTGAACAGCTTGGGCGTTTGGGTTTTCTCCTTGACTTGTGCCGGCGGAGGAGGGGAACTCGGCTTGCAGACCCCGACAGGAACGTCTGGTGACCTTTGACCCTCTGAGCTCAGAGCACTTTCCTCCTCGCTGCGACCTAAAGGCTCCTCGGAGCGGCTGGCAGGTTCAGGCTCAGGGAGACTAAATGAGAGACAGAGAAGTTAGAAAGAACCACAACGTGATGAGACGTAGCGGCAAGGAGGGAAATGTAGCCTAAAGGTTTGAAATGGAGCTGCCGAGTATTTATTGTATCATTTATCGTGAGCAATGTCTTATCTGATTGACAGCCATCATAATAAATACCAATTAATGAGGTTTAAAACCACCCAAAATGTATCATCAGGATTCATAGTTTAACTATTTTCCCCATTTTTCAATAAAATCACCAATAAATCTGAAAACAGTTACTGAGTGCAGCTTTGTGATACAAACCACACTTCTTCATGTGACTGGTGTCCCAAGAAAAGTGCATTACAGATGGGAATGTTATTCAAGAGCATTATTTGTGTTTGTGGGAATGGAATTGCTGTGACAAAGTGGCAACACTAAAGTTGACTGCAAAAGATGTAATAATTAGTTCTTATTTTCATCATTAACATGATATCATGAGATGATAAAGCTAAGTTCATATCGCCCACCTTTAGTTTGAAGCATGTTTGAAAGAAAAAAAGCTTCCGTAAAAAAAAAGAAAAAAAACAAACTGAAGGGTCAAGGTTAAAGTAATGATTTCATATTTAAAGAAAAACCAGAGAGCCAACTATTAAAAAAAGAAGTTTGGAACAGCAAAAGTAAACAATCCAAGTTAAGATCAATGTTGCTGAAATTAAAGGCTCATTAAACGTTTTACAGTGCTGACTGATGAGACTAGCAGATAGAGGAGGTTCTGCTCCCTTTCAGCCCAGTCAGCCGGTTTCCTCCTTTTATACAAGCATGTCTGCTCCTCTACTTTTCTACTGGAAAAGAAAGAATGCCGTTACCATGACTGCCACGTAGTCGCCCTGCGCAGTGGAATAATGACAATAGCAGTCGTTCTCCCTCTCATACTGTGGTTCAGAGCTGGGCCCCGTCTCCTCGGGGCACAGAACAAGGTTTTGCCCTGCCAGCATGAGCCGACCCAGACTCTGAACAGGAAGTCTGATACTGCAGACTTCACAACTCGACTGTATAAATCACTCACACACACAAGCACATACACACCTACAAACCTTGGCATTAAGTATCTGGACAAATCATGAAATTATTATAGTCCAATGCTTACATAACTAAAATACTGTCTTACAGTGTTGTTGTGCATTCAGGGGTCAAAACAATACCAGAAAAATCAGAACAAGCTGTTCTTTAAAAAAATAAAATAAAGCCCAATATTTTCTTTAGCTATAAAGTTTAAAGAATGAATGCAACATGTAGTGCTGTATTGTTAATTTGGGATTAAAATGACCACTAGTTTGAAGATGAAAACTTTCACCATGCTTAAAAGTCTAAACTTTTGCAAGCCTGAGTATTAGAAAACTTATTTTACAAGAATTAAGTCATATTATTAAATTACAAACATTACCAGAATAAAAACATATCTGGAAAAAAATGACATAAAATTACAAGAAAAAATATGTTTTAATGAGAAAAAAGCTTGGATAGAGTTATAAATATATGATCAGCTTTTACATTCTTCTTTAAAGTGAACAATCACTTTCAACGTTTCCTGTTTATTATGGAGCATGCATGGAAATGTTCCTGGTTGTTTGGACATCTCAGAGGTAAAATAAGGGTCTATGTTTCCAAGAAACGCATAAAAAGAGACGGTGCTTACAGTAAACAAACCTATATAAAGAGTCAGAAAACTGTTTAAACTGCCTCACTTCATTATTTTGTCTTTGATTTGAAATATTACCGCTCTCAAAAACATTTTTTCCCTCCCTTTCACGCGCTCAAAACATACAAACATTGATTAGCTCATTTTTGGAGGGCGTAACATTAACTTATTTAGTTGGACAAAAAAAAAAAAAAAAAAGGAAAATGCCCGTCATTAATCAGACCATAATGCAGCATTCACAATGAATATATAAAATAATGTAAAAAACTAATTAAAAAAACCTTTTAAAATAATTTTTATAGCAACAATGCTATTAAACAAAACCAGATGTATTTATTGAATTCTGAACAGAAAATGTGAATCAACTACAATCAATACAGACATCGCTGTACATAAGTCTGATATTAAAAATCAGCAGCAAAACCCTGATTTTAAGAAAACACGACTACTTCAACAACAAAAAAAAAGCAACTGACTCAACAATTGAGCCCAACAATCTAAAAAGAAGATATTGGGCTTTGATAGTCAACTTTCAGGGACAACTACTTCTGAGAATATTGTTAAATGTGTTAATCTTGCACTTCATTCCCTGCAGATACACTCCCTCTTAATTTCAACTACTTGTTAATTGAATACACTCCAACCAAACTTTTGTGGGTGAAAAAAAAAAATAAAAGAAACCCACATCAATCAAAAGGGAGCATCCCTACTTTACTCGTGTGTGACAGTCTGTGCATTTGTGTGATAAAGTGGCCTAAGCTATATTGGTCTTGGTATTCGGACATCAGCTGGCAGGTGCACACACTAAAGTGGTGACGGAGCAGCTTTAAAGCATACCAGCAAGACGGACACAAGAGCCGCATGGCATTGTGGGTTGGCCCAATGCAGGTTGTACGGCCAATGACATCACAGGGACAAAAATGTTAATGGGATTTTGTAATCTGGATCTAGCACTGGAGATACAGACTTCATACTTTCCTATAAGGTTGACGCACTCAAGGATATTAGGTTGTGGACTAACTTGGTCCCTGACATCATAGTGATGTACACTGCAGAATAGTAGCTTCCCCAGCTGCTAGGGGAAAATGAAAGAGAAATAATTCTTTTATCTAAAAAAAAGACTAATTATCCAATCATTCTGGCACCAGTTTTCTGAACAGCAGTCTTGTAAAGCATGAAAGAAGACGGTGGCTAGTTTCTGAAGGACGCCGCTGCAATGTCTGCTCTTCAGATTACATGTGAGATCATAGTTCTTGACAGCACACACTGACCAACACACTGTGAAGCCCTTCCTGGAGTTGAACATGAACCAAAGTATCAGGTCAAGTTAGAGACACACCAACTGAAATGCGTCCAATAAGAAGAGCAAGGAAAGCATTTATTTATACCCTCTCAGAGGTTAAATGAATTACTCTCCGCTTGCTGCAGTACGGAAACTTTACATGAAGAATTGATTTGAGATTCAACTGAATACCAAAACTTTTGCCTTTGTCATTTCAAAAGACTTCACGTCTTTGAAGGAAAAGCGTTTGAATGCCTACTGTGCAAAACAGAGTTACTTGGGAAGTGAAAATGATCTTGAGGCTTTAACACTTCGCAGTCAGGTCAGGGGGCTTCTAACACTTCACCACAGCTTCTAGCTCATGTCATTTAGCTGCAACGTCACTGCTGCAAACACACGAGAGCAAATGTAAAAAAAAAAAAAAAAAAAAAAAACCTGGGAAAATTTGGGGTCCCCCTGAACAGTGACGTCACGAGCAGCTGAGTAGAAAAGGACCGGCACTGGGAGGATTCATGGTTCTAATACCGACATTCATATTTTAACAGTTTCTAAGGCACTGTGTGTGAATGTGAAATTAAAGAGAAAATAACTGGAACCAGCTTCAATTAACCTAGAGTAGTTAATTATCCCGTCAGCGTTTTTTCAAACGCCGACAAAAAAACCCGGACAGAATTTTTTTTCTTCCCTTTCACGAGCTCGAAAAATACAAACGTAGATTAGTTCATTTTTGGAGGGCGTAACATTAATTTATTTAGTTTGAAAAAAAAAAAAAAGTAGGTAAAAAAGTTAAGCTGTCTAAACTTCAAAATGCACCGTGGAGCCGACACCTTCACTCAAACACACCGACATAAACGGAGTTAAAGCAGAACCATGTGAAAACGCTCTCAGCAGCAACAAGGCTGGTGTTCTTACCTCGCCAAATGTTTCCTCGCCACCGAGCTCTAATGGCTGAATGAAAGCAGCTCTAAACTCAGCTGGAGCAAGCTCGGCGAGGCTGGCCGGAATGCAACAGGTGACAAGGCGCGCTCACGTACGGCGCGCGCTGGTCCAGCTCATTAACTGCCAGTGAGCTCATTCGTATTACCATGGTTACTAACTCGGCTTTGTTTTATGATACATAGAGCCTCGTTTTACACATCTTTAACTGATTTAATTGGTTCGTTTCAGTTTTAACAAGGATGATGGACATAAAACTTAGATTTAAATTTAAAAAGAAATATATTTATTTATTGGACACCTACAACACTACAAATAAATACAAAAGAATCTGGAGAAAACTAGATTCACGTGTGTTGCGCGTTATTTACTCTTGGGAATTTGCCGTGTATTTAAAGCGCCACCAGCATGGAAACAATGGGTGGACGCGGTGTGTGCTGCACCGAGGCAATTATGCTTTGATGCAATACTGCAAAGGTCATGTGAGAGATCAATGGTTTTGTTAACACGTTGAACACCTTCTTAGCCATGAATTGGGACTGAAACAGCTGATATTAATTTGGGCTAACTGGCAGGATTGCTTTCTAATTGCTGAGTGATTTCAGCTGGTGTCAAGGCTTTGCGCATGCTTTTCCCTCCTCATTCCAGTTTATATCACACATAACCAAATTTATGTTCGATACTTAATTGTCATACCTGATGTATCAATAATATTATGTTTTTATAACCTTGTACAATAAAACTAATCAGTTAAGAATATGGCTGCTCAAAGTGAGCCAGGCTGTGCTGGAGGTTTCCACTAGGTAAAGAACAGTTCTTCTCCTCTCCACTGTTGCTCTGTGTTTGGATTGATTGATTGATTGATTGATTGATTGATTGATTGATTGATTGATGCAAAGTTGACTATCAACTGATGCTACTTGCTTGTTCAGTTCAAAGAATTGATGAAAACTCAATTTAATCAATTTCAAGAAACTCAATCTGACTGCTTCATAATTGCAAATTAATTGGAGTCTGTATGATTGAACCAAATGAACAATATATTTCTGTTTATAAATGTGTTTTTTCTTTGTAAAGTTCCATCACACCGCTTTTCATGTATATTGGTGCCATGTGAATAAACTGAACTGAATCTTACTTTATTAGTTACCCTACAAAGCAAGTCAACTTCAAATTAAATTATTTTGGCTATAGCAGCATTAACCCTACACATGTTGACATATTAAACTAATTAATCATTTCCTAAGTAGATATAAAGAGCCAAAAGAGCCACAAACTAACAACTGGTGTCGTAAGTTCTTCTGTATGTGAGGATTTAAATAAAACTTTTATAAATAAATACAAAAAAATAAATAAAAGCACATAAACATTTACAGACACAACACCTCAATGTGTCTGTGGCTATATCTGTTGATTTTGATCTCTCTGCCATGACAATTTAACATTGTCAGCTCTAATAGAAACAAACAAACAAAAAAACAAAAAACGACCAGTGTTGGATCAGTTCCATGCACATCACAAGGATCCATACATCTCCAAAGCGAGACCTCGTCTTGGAAAATCAGATCACAATTTTATTTTTTTCTACTCGGAATATAATCCCACTAAAATGTAAGGAAAGAAGTGTGAGACGATGGTCAGAGAAAGCTGCAAAAGTCCTGGAGTGTTGCTCTGAGGCTGCAGACGGGGATGCACGACACCATGCCCACCAGAACAGAAACATCCCTCACTGATAACACACACTGGCTCACCAGTAAAAGTAAGGAACTACTAAGCAAACAAAAAAAAAGAAGAGTTTTTAAGGAATTATGAGGGAGCAACTCAAACTCGAAATTAGAGACAACAAGGAAGCGTACAGAAAGAATTTGGGTAGTGAACATTTACAACCCTGCATGTCTGGATGGTGTCAGCACTAAAGGCCCATATGCAGAGCAGCAATATGGGATGTTGCAGCACTTCTTCCACTTTTGAATTATTGTTTTTAATGGAAAATAAATTATTTTGCCTATACCATTCTGTGCAGGGAAACTAAATCAATAAAAATACAATTCTCAATGGGAACATTCCAGAAATGCAATACTTAAGGACTTTTTATCGTCATACCACCGATGCTTGTTTGTGGCACAAAAATTCAGATTCAGGTCCCAGATTAAAAAATAAAATAAAATGAAAAACATAATTAAAAAATAAATGGGTAAAAATAATTTTTAAAAATGAATAGAAATTAACAGCAGCAATACGTTTCTCATGTAGAGAAACGGCAGGAGAAAAAGAAGTAATTTTGGAAATAGACACCAGCGACCTCCTGTGGATAAACATGTGAACTACAGCACATGTGCAGTACAGACATTTAATATCGCCACAAGTAATGGCCTACGTCATTTTTTAAAGATGATTTCAGGAGAAAAAAACCCCACTTTTGGTAAAAACGTGAATTAGAAAGGTGATGATATTAAATGTAACAGAATTAAATAGTTGACCACCTGGTACAATAAGTAATTTTTTTTCTATAATATTACAAAAAAACAATTACTTCCTTGCATACTTTTTTGATGGCTTTTTCTTGAAACTTTTCCACTATGTTAGAACAGATCATTAAATTCCAGGGAAATAAAAAACGACCTTTAGGGTCATATAATGTCTCAGTCTGTGAGGGCCTTCATGTACTCACTCTGCACCATGGATGCTGTCTTTTAAGGGGCTGTCGGGCCACTCCGGAGGGGGAAGGTTCATACAGTCGGGTAACACGGGAGGCAAATCCTCTATGCTTCTCCTGAAGGAAGCAGTCTCCTCATGATGCTCCGCCTCGCTGTCTTCCTGACTGAGAGACAGTGCTTCTTGCTGGTGAATTGCCTCGACCTCCAGCTGCTCCTCTAGGTCTGGTGTGTGTGTGTGTGTGTGTGTGTGTGTGTGTGAGAGACAGCAACTCAGGTGAGCTCAAGGATCAATGCAGCGGGTTTGCGAAACAGCCGGAGATGCCCGTACCGTTGTAGACTTCCAGTGTGGCTGAGCAGGAAACCGTGCCGTAGGAGTTGAGCACCACACACTTGAACAGGCCGGAGTCTTCGGGGAAAGCCTCGGTGATCACCAGCGTACACAGCTCCTCTGCAGAGACGAGACTTCAGCGTTACTCACAGGATTACACATCTTCCATTTTATGTTTCACTTTTAAATCATCGACATTGTCTGTTATCAGACAATGTCTGATAACAGACAATGTTATCACTGTAAGAGCGTTACAGTGAAAAAAACAGAAATATTAATAAACTCATGAGCCACATTTATGTATATTCATGTACTATTTTCATCCTCCTACTATTAATTATTTCATGCAATCTGTGTTTTGGACTCACCTGGCACTGATGCAGAGCTGCCTTCTGGAAACACAAGGACAGATTGTTTGAGTTAACTTTAGCTTCTGGTTCTGATTAAAGTAATTCACATCTGAAACCAAGTTCCAGTAAATCCAAGCTGCTTTATATAGCCGATGGTCTTCTTTTCTACAAGAAGCCAGTTTTACTGTCACAGATCATACAAAAGTCCCATAATGCACAGCTTCACTGAAGTATAAAGACAGAATCAACTAACACAAAAGGAACTTTTATTCTAAATGGACAACTGTAACCTTTTTTTTCTTCTTATAATTGGTTCTCAAAATCTTAAGGTCAGTATTTTCAGCCATAAAATAAAATGTTTCAAAATGTCTTCTTTAACATGAAGATGAACTAAAATCTATTAATACCACTTAGGGTCTCCTCTATAAATCACTTATTGACGCCATCAATATTTTTAAGATAAAATGTGTCAGATATGCATGACTCCATATTCACTAGAACCCAATGTGTAAAATTTCTGAAAATAAATTAATCTTTACAGCATTATCTCTGAAATAAAACATGCAGCAAAACCTAATAAAACCTAATAATTAGCTGCTTATTACAACCAAGCCACACCCTTGGTAATCCCAACAGTTTGAAATCTGAAATTTATTTCGAACATGATACAAATCTAAAAAGTAATATAGTACACAATAAGAAAAGTGAATAAAAAAGAAGAAAAGAAAAAAAATACAGATATGTTTCAGTTAACATATCATGCTCAAAATGGGTAGGAAGAAGTAAAAACTTATTAACTCCTACCCCCTAAACACTTGAAAACTTACAATACTACTGTTATTTTTTTTTTTTTAAAGAAAAAAAGAAATCATCAATCAATTAAAAGTCAGAGTAGCTGTACAGCATAATGTTTAAAAGGGATCTTATTTATGCAACAAATGTTTTAGTAGTATTGCATATGTGTGTAGATCTTTTTGGATTCACCACAACAAAAAGGGCTACTCTTGTAAACATTGTCATTTCTACAGTCAGTATTATTATGTCGGCGGTGGGAACACTTCCGCTAATAGCAGAGCTAATTTATCATTTAATGCCTTCGTATTTTCGCTAACTTTGAAATCATTCACTGTGCTTAGATTGTGTGCCAAGCTAGTCTAAGTAATTTAGTTGCTTACTGAATTATTTGTAAATTTAGTAAGTGGCTAAATTAACACTTTCTTGTGTTAATTAGCATTTTTGCTAACTTAGTTTAAAATCATTCCCTGTGCTTAGCTTCTGTGCGAAGCTAGGCTAAATTAGCTTATTTAGCCTACCTTCTAAATTAACGAGTGTTAAGTTAGTCACTTACTTGGCTAAATTAACTTTCAGTTGAATAAAGTTAAAGCAACAGAGTTAGCAACACTCAACAACTATAAAACTAAAACCATGAGGGAAGACTCTGTGCAAAAGAATCACCTCCTGAAGAGAAACATGACATGCAGGTATGCAGTAACAAATTTGACTAAGATCTTGTGCTAAGTTTTCAGCTAATGCTGACTTCAATGCTAATGAAGTTAATGCTAAAGCACGATGGTCGGGATGATCGGTGTCAACATGGATGAAATGTAAAGCTATGTGCCATAAATACCAGTATGGATTCTGCTTAACTCTGATGCAAACTTTGTCACATCGTATGACTCCATCTCACACTCACTCTTGCGCAATATCCTAAAGTCGTCAGAGTCCTGTATTTGTTCGTCTTCTCTGTACCACATGACCTGCAGCGGAGGGGTCCCCCTCAGCCGGCACTCCAGGACCACCAGCTGACCTTTCACTGTGGACATGTCATGGAGGCACTAGGGTAGATGAGGATGATGATGAGGGTTCAAAGGAGGAAGATAAGAACAAGAGAAAAGAAGATGGATGAGCCTGATGTCAGAAGAGACTTATACACATCTAGTTCTGATATTTGTACTTTGTTTAAGGCCGGGGTGTCCAAACTTTTTGTCACTTGGGGCAAAATCTGTTTGTTTGTTCTACTTAAAAAAAGAACACCTAGTTTTCAAATTTTTTTTAGGCTCAATTGAACAAATGTATTTCTCAACATAATAGCAAGATTTGGGTCACTTTCTTTCAGAACACTGGCTATATAGCCATGATGAACTCATTAGATAAAAGTTGACTTGGGTGAAGCAAAGTCAACTTTTCAATAAAAGTCTGAATAAAAGCTTGGTGGTAAAAAAAAACAAAACAAACAACAACAAAAAAACAAAAACAAATACTTTGTAACATACTTAACTTTTTTCTATTGTAAGAAAAATTGTTGGTGGTAATTTTACTCTGATGACAAGTAAAAAGTCTCCATCAGTCGAAGGGTCACAATCAGCCCCCAAACTGTGCTTTGGCCACCCCTGGTTTATGTGTTTTCCAGACACATAGTGCCATTTCATAGCATAATCAAATAACTATATTAACTTTAGCTGTTATATAAATGCTGTATATATATATATCTATATAGATATATATATATATCAATATATATAAATAAAATTGAACACCTTAAAATCGGGCCTCTGTCTCTTTAAGAAACTCCTCTTCTTCCTAAAACTTCAGAAAGTCATCACAACATGGCTGCACTATTAACCATTTAACAAAATTTTACCAGCATTTCCATGAGAAGTAGCTTCTATAATGAACTCAGCAGATCCGCAGTTCCACCAGGTGTTTGCTAATTGCTGACGGCTAGTCTGAAGGGACTGAGTCCACCCAGGCGTTTTGCACAACTGAATGGGTTCCACGAGAGATTAAAGGATTCTCAAAAATGCGTGAAAGAGTCAAAGCAACAGTCTAGGTATGTTTTTGATGAGGGAATAATATAACAAGATGTAAAGCTAAAAAAAAAATAGTCAATTTTACATGACCCTTTCCCTTTAAGGACCCGCAATAGAGGTCTATGTTACCTTAACAAATGTTGGAGCCACTCCTTTCCCCGAGTACTGCTGATTGTAGACAGGACTCTGCGTCTGCACACAGAAAACACACAGGATTCTGTTCATTGCCACTGTACCTTCTGCATACTTGTGAACCGGCTCAGGCCTGAACCGAACAATGTTTTCCATATTTATCCATTTCCATGAAGGATTGTTGCGCCCGCAAATATAGCAGGCAATAAAAGGTTACATTTTCCAATTTAAATGACACATTTCCATAACGCATCAACTGAACGAGGACAAATGATTCATTTTAGGTTGATGTAATTACTCTCTGAGGGCTGACACACAACGGATGCACCAGGCTTGAGTGTCTCTGAGCGAGCAACGTGGAGGAGGAGGAAGAGGAAGAGGAGCGCTCCCGAGAGGAGGAGGAGGAGGAGGAGATTGTAAGAGACATGGTGCTGGTCTTCTTCTGCGTCCTCTGGACCCTGAGTGGTGGGACGTAGTGGGAGACATTACACCTTCTAAAGTTTCTCCTGTCCTCTTTGTGCGAGTGTGTTTCCAACTTACTGGGCCACGCTGGAGTCCATGTCGCTGGCACTGACAGGTGTCCTGCAAAATATGTAGATAATTACATATTTATAACTATCTTTAATTATAAATATATATAACAAGCTGCTTGTCTCAAACCAACAATATTATCATTTATTGGAATAATTCTGGGACAATTTATCGTCCAGCAAATTTTGTCATCATTATTTCTTGTGTGTTTTATTTTGTTGATGCTATTGTGTCTTTTAGTACAATAATGTGTATTGTGTTGTGTTTAAATGGTCAGATGTTTTCTCTTTTTGTGCTTACATTTCTCATAGGAGATAGGATGAAATAAAATTTTTGTGCTCATTATTGCATTTTTCCTCTGCCACAAACTGCGGTAGTGTTGATTAATGTGCACAGCCTAGCTCAAGCACATGGTCACCCTCTGAGGGCCATCAGGAGCACATCACTTCCTGAGCAGCGAATCACTGTGCATCTCCATCATGGTCTGACTTTATTTAGCTGTAGCGTAGGGTTTTGTTGCTAACTGAAGGTGTTTTGGCGTTTTACGGCCCATTCCCACCCTCGCTCTGTCTTGGGAAGGAGAAGGAGCTGACAGGGGAGGCTGAGAGTCATGTTTCTGGGCTAAATTAAACTCTGGCTCCTCTTGAACACAGAGGAGGCTTCCTGGCCTCCATAACCAGGCGACAGGGAGAAGTTAAACTTTGATTCACTGCAGATTTCCTTGTCTTCTTTTTGGGGTTTTTTTTACCACTGATACAGCTACTAACAGGAGACTATTATGGCTTTAAAGGTCAGTATTATGCAAAATAGATTTTTTTTACATCATGTTATGATGTTATTCCCTCCTCAAAAACATACCTGGATTCTTTCATGGAGGTTAGTGAAATCATTTAGTCTCCCATGGCAACCATTCGGCTGTACAAAACACCTGGGTGAGCCCTAGAACCACCTTTATGGATGCAGTTTGGAGCCTCCATATGGGGGAATTTTTCTGCCATAATCCAAGAGCACACATTCTCAGTCTGAAAGCAGGATTTCATGTCTTTTGTTTTCAAAACTTTTAGTACTTTTGCTTACATTTTTATTTTGAAAGCAAGACTTCATGTATTTCTTCTCAAAACTTGTAATGATTATACTCAAAACTTCTCCTCACGCTCAGACATAGTCTCTACTCGGACTCTGCTCACTTATGAAACATGAAACTGCCTTTTTGGCACATTCGCCTAGCAACCTCACAGCCAATAGAATGAATGTGTTGTAGTAGGTGTGTTTGTTTCCTTCTAGCGGCTGTACCTGTGTGGCCACTATCGATTGTAGCAACCTGCGCCACCCACTGGATGTAGCGAGTTAATTGGGTGAACAATGCTGTTCTGTTAGCGAACAGCATTCTGCTACTCGCTAACAGAATGCTGTTAGCGAGTAGCAGTAGCTAGCAGTGCTACTGTTAGTCAGTAGCATTGCAAGTGGATGTTTAATGTAATATGGAGCAGACAGCTGAGGGCGTTGCTTCTCCTACATCCAGTGGGTGGCACAGGCTGCTACAATCGATAGTAGTCACCCAGGCACACCCGCTAGAAGGAAACAAACACACCCAGTGCAACACTTTCTTTCTATTGGCTGAGAGGTTGCCAGGCAACAGTGCAAGCAGAAAATGTTTCATAAGCGAGCAGAGAGTCTGAGCAGAGACTACATCTGGAGGAGAAGTTTTGAGTATAAGCATTACAAGTTTTGAGAAGAAATACATGATTTCATTTTTATTTTTCAAAATAAAAATGTAAGCAGAAGCATTAAGAGTTTTGAGAACAAAAAACATGAAATCCTGCTTTCAGACTGAAAATGTGTGCTCTTGGATTATGGCAGAAAATTTCCCCCACACTTCCACCTCATGGAGCAGACCTCTCCCACTACTCCCCCAAGCAGCTCCTTGAGACTAGTCAGCAGCAATTAGCAAAAACCTGGTGGAACTGCACATCTAATGAGCTCGTTGTAGGAGCTATTTCTCAGTGCAATGCTGGTGGAAATGTTGTTAAAGGGTTAATAGATGGTTAATAATGTTGTGATGACTTCCTGAAGGCAGCGTTTCATAAAAACAAGAGTTTCAGACAGAGGCCAAATTTCAAGTCGTTAAATTACAAAATAGTATTTTCATTACATATTTACTTGATTGTGCTATAAAATGGTGCTATGTGCCTCAAAAAGAAACACACACACACAATGCTGCCTCTTGAAGGGAAGAAAAACAGCTGCAGCATTACACCCTGTGTCCCCTTCAGATAATCACAGCAAACAAGTGTATTTGTGTGTGTGTGTGTGTGTGTGTGTGCGTGTGTGTGTCCTTTTACCGAAGCTTGTTGTTGATACAGCAGCAGTTGCTGTTAAACCCTTTGTGTCGCTTGTCTCCGTTACATAACCGCACAATTTATGGATGCATTTACCAATCTGTAACCCGGCAGGTCAGAGGACCATCGAGGCTTACAGTAAAGACAGGGGGCAACACTACAGGGGGCCGACACAGTGGTGTTGCACTACAACTAGTGCAACACCAGCATACACACTTATGCTCAGATGGTTTAGACTGCTGGGATGTGCAACACACACACAGAATATGAAAAATGTATGAATAGAGTCAAGAGAAGAAGTGAAACACAACCACAGAAAATGGAAGTTAAACAAGTTAAACACTGTCAGGCAGATGAACTGTCGGCTGATTTAAAGGTCTAGAAATACTCTGAAGATAACAATGATAAAATTATTTTACCCTCAACATTAAATAATTCCATAATCAGTCTTTTAAACCTAAAAGGTAAGATATTAATTTAAATCTGGAGTTATTTAATTTTGATTTAATGTATGAGCAATAACTCATACATGAGATGCTGAAGGAAAAACTCCATCTTTTTTCCTTTAGCATCCCACATTGTTCGTTTTGATTGGGCCAATAGAATCAATGAGCAGAAATGGTAAATGGCTCATACTATCCCAACTCTTTATCAAGTTTGAGGACTCCAAAGCTCTTTACTGGAGAGGAAAAGAAATGCCTTGCCCGAGGTCAGAATGACTGAGACAAAGCAGGCATTTCAACAGGCAACCCACTGGCTACAGGACAAACCCTCTACGTCCTGTCGCCACTGCGGCTTCAGAATCCGACAACTGTTCACACGAGTGGGTAAACCTGAGAACAGCTTTCAGGAGGACAGGAGGAAACCAGCACCTACTTGAGATCCGACTTAATTTAAGCAACCACCCAGTGTGACGTCAGCCCTGAACACAACATCACGTGGTTTCTCTCAGCTGTGGACACATTTAGCACAACAGTAGACCATATACACCTGCAAGCTGTGCAATACAAATAAACAGTTGCTATAAAAACTACCTAATTTTCAATTAATGAAGAAGTAGAACCATTTAAACAAACTAATGTATGTTTGAAAAACCGTGGCTCTTATAACAGTGGTTAATAATTCAGCTTCACAAGATGATACATTTATTATCTTTCCGTTTTTCCAGAACCCTCAAAATGCCAGGGTTGATTGAGAAACATTGGGGGCATAAAATCAGTATATTTGTATCTACCGAACTGCATTCCCTGTTGAATATTTATGCTCTCTCGCAAATCATTTGGTCTACCTGAATCTGCGGTTCAAATACGTGTGGAACCCCATGAAAAGGCGGGGTTCCACCCTAGATCCAAATGTTTGAATTGTGCATGATTATTATCTTTTCTAAAGTAAGGCACCTAAGTTGGAAATTGTTTTGGATTTTTATTGGAAAAATATGGTATATTCTCAAAAACAACAACAACAACAACAACAACAAACAAAAACAGAGGACATGATTTGGGTTTCTGTTTTTCTGAAAATACTTGCTATAAAAAGCCAACCTTAATAAATGAATTAAAAGTAGATTTCGGTTCACCGAAGCTTGCTTTGGAATAAAAGTCTAAAGCAATACATGCACTCCTACTTAGTACGAAAATAAAAAGAATCCAAAAAGCGCTGTTAAAAGAAAATGGCTGTGTTGTCCTTGACATTTTCCAGTTTGAGAAGATTTTAACTTGTTAGGAGTAATTTTTGTCCTATTTAAGCATAAAAAGCCTCCATCTGCACATGAAATAGCGTAGGGGCTGAAAATGGCTCCAGGGTGCACCTTGGACACCGCTGCTTTAAAGGTTGTGATTATAATGGGGCAAAACGGGGGAAAGTTCAAGTGCTACGGATACTTTTGTCAGATGCCATGCCTTTATACCTCTTCTTCAAACATGCGTTGTACAAACACAGTTCTCTGAAGGGTAACTGCTGGATTTTTACCTGCAAGCATCATGATCTCCAAAGCTCAACAAAAGGTGTGAAGGGAGTTTGCGACATTTCCTCAACCGCTGAAAAACGAGCTGCCCACTCTTCTCAGACGCTCTCAGTATGGGAGACCAATTTAGCGTGCAGCGGGTCAGCTGGTCGGTCCAACCACCAACCACATGCTAGTGCTGTGCAGTGAATCCCCTCAGCAACACACACATACACACACTTGCTCTGTGAGTGAGATTTGACTGGTATGTACTGCAGGCTATAAATGACACAACTTTGTTTTGAATTATTTCCACCCATTAAGAATCCAAATACTTGCTTGCATCCGCACTCACATGGATCCAGACGTTAGAAAATTAGATCGTCAATAAGGTCGGGACGTTGGTAAAGAGGGGGTGAGGGGTGAGGGGGGGTGTACAGGCTCATGACACAGCACATAAAATTAGCCCAGGGCAGACCACCCCCCATACCCTGCAAAAACCCAGCTGTTGTCTTCTCTCTGACTGCAAACTCATTCACTTCATGCAATAACACACTATCAACCCAATGGGCTTCAACCAATTAAACCATAGCACGATGAGACCGATCTATTGGTTGGGTTTGGACTACGGGCAGCGATCAAAGCCATGCACGTGTAAAACAACCCCCTCCACCCATCATGTGCTGAGCCCCTTACCTGTCTGCTCTTTCTCCAGCAGATTAAACAACACAAACACAAACTAAAGTCCCAATCAACCAGGAGGACGATCCCGTCAAACTGCTAGGTGACCGTGTGGCTGCCAGTCATGACATGGCCAACGGGCGCTTGCTGCTGTGGGTGAGCTGACACACACTTTTACACATGTATGTATGTGTGTGTGTGTGTGTGTGTGTGCTCTTGGGTGTATTGAAAGGGTCAGGAGGAGGGGGTAAGAGGAGGGGATAGCGAAGTTCTTCTGGAGGGCAGCAAAAGGAGCAAAAAACAATTTCAAGTAGTTTTCAGCTTCGATATTAAAGGCTAGATGGATTGTTCATTAGGTTCCTTCTTTAGCTTAAAAAAATACAAATACAAATGACTAATATAGAGAATGATATATTTGTTGTTTAGGTTTTTTTTCATGATTAAAATTGTTCTTCTAGATGTCACTGATGTTTTTATGCAGAAGAGGCGTTCAGGGTGTCCTGGCCGACGGAATGATGACAAAGTTCATCCAAGAACTGGAGACAGGAAACTTGCGACCGGTGCCAGCGAGTCGTCTATGGAAACATAAAACTCAGAGAGAGACAGACACATGGAGAGAGTGATGGGTTAATGCAGTCTGACAGAGGACCGCTGCTGATCACCAGCACTGATGTACTAGCTCTACTACCACAATGAACCATGAATAAAGAAAGAAGAAAACGTTTTAAACCAAATTGGCTCTGTAATTTTGGCCCACCCTTTTTTTTCTTTGAAATTGAAAATAATGTGTGAGTCAACAAATAATTATCAGAGCGGCTTTTACATCTGGAAATTTACAAGGCCACATCCATTTTGGCTTGTTTGGGTTTAGGTCAGGTGTAATATGAGATACACCCTCTAAAATGTTCCTCTTTAGTCTCGTCAGACCACAGAATATTTTCTCAAAAAGTCTTGGGGATCATCAGGATGTTTTATGTTAATTGTAATTCAATTGTAGTTATTGCACCGAAGCACAACAAAGTTCATTTAAGC